GGGTAACAACTTGTGTTATGGCACGCTGCACACATAGCGTTTTGGCTGAGCCATAGCTGCTGCTGCATCTCAACAAGTTCAGACGTTTCGCGCTGCCAATACTCCGTGCAGCCCTGGTAGTGTTGCGGGATGTGACGCAGCCATCACGTTTTCTGGTCATCCTAGCCGACAGGGGGGAGCCTTTACACTGCCTGAAATAGCCGTTTATCCATGCATTTCGTAGCTGCACGAACATTTCATAGTGCGATTTCCCCTAGCAAATTTTTGCAGTTCCTTTAACCAATATCCCATTCTCTGGCTACACTCGCATTCCTTTCTCCTTCTGATAGGCTTTTGTTGCAGCACTACCGCAGTTCCTTTTTTTCTGCATATGGGCTGTTTTTTGAGGCCTGTAAGTACAGGCGGATCGAGGGAAGGGCGAAGGGTCTTTGCCGCCATCCCCAGCGACACAGACAACAGTGCTGCAAAAGCCCGGATGATCTAAAACTAAAAATAAAATAAGGTAAAGTCTAAAGTAGTCCTGAACTAAAGTAAAGTGATTCTAAGTAGCATTGTTGCAACTCTATTCCTAATTTTTGCATAGTTCCAAGATTGGGGGGCTGGGCTCTCCCCAATCTCCGTTATCCTTCCGCCTGAGGAGTCCGTCCTGGACCCAACTATGCCTATAGGCTGAAAGTGGTATTGGTTTTTGGCCTAATATCTAAAATGGTGTTTGAAATTTGTGATAATTGAATTTGTAATGACGTCAGTGCTTTTGGTTCCATTTTTCCTGTTTAATAACTGTGTCTGAAAAAAGCATCAAAAAATAATCTTAGTTCGAAAATGAGAGAGCGCCATACCATTAGATAAATGAGCAGTCCGAAAAAGCACGTACCTTCTTACTCGAAAAATTATTCCACTTTCTTTCAGAAGCGGAGGCTCTGCTTATTAAGTTTTGGGCTGAAAATGTTAAAAATTGACTGTATTTTTCAATTTCTTACTATTGAGCTGCAGCGCCGATAACAGGCATCCGCTGGCATAACCTCTCTATAGTTCCACTTTCTGAAGATCGCCTAGAAGTTGCCTAATGGCGTGCGTTTGTGAGGGAAGATATATGTCAGCACCAGTTTACCACCGAAATTGGGGATGTAATCTTTACGGCAAGAGCGGCGTCTTTTGCTGCTGCACCAAGCCTATCAGCATACTTTGGAAGGAGGAATTAGCAAACTTTTGTGACCAAAGGCATTTTTAAAAGCGGACGATTTCACATTTTCACGCCAATATGGCAGCAGTAACCGTAATGCTCTGTTTTGACGCTTAATTTGCTGGCCAAAAATGAGGTAACGCTGGCTGACACGTGGACAGAAACGGAGCTTATTAAGTGTTTTTGTTATTATCCAAAAATGACATTAAAATGAGGTCACCTGGATGAGGAAAAGGATTTTCAAATCTGTGATTGTAATATCGCAGTTTGGAAATCTTGTTGCTCTCTGATCTGCTTTCAGATATTTGGAAAAAGAATCTGATGATGATGATGAGATGGTATATCAGCCGGCACACGGAAGTCCTGGCGCAAAAGCTAGCAGTAGCGGTGAAGATGGCGAGGACGAGGAGGATGACCCGCTTGATGCCTTTATGGCTGGTGTTAATAAACAGGTTTTTTTCCGCATTGAGTTTTTTTCTCACGCATATTTTTACTTGTTCCTATTTGCTGTAGTGTTTTGAAGATGCCAGATTCTGTGCAAAAGAATTTTTCGTTCCAGGCAGTTCAGGACAAAGCGGAAAGTATTCGGAAAGACAAGGAGCGCAGTCTGAAAATGGACAAGGAAGAGGACGAGAAAAACAAAGGACTGGGCCGTGCTGATATCGATGAGGAGGACATGCAAGAATCGTATTTCAGGTCAGCTTTTTGGCATCTTTCGTAATCCCTTGTCAAATTGCTGATGATGAATTTTGAATGATGACACAAGAAATGTTTAAAAAGGCGACGAACGGGAGATGTCCAGCTCGTTGGGTCGAAGGGCCCGATGGAAAGGGCTGTGCTTATCTGCTAGCAGTTGCTAGTTTCTGGAATTTACTTTAGATTTGTGGAAGAGCGCAAAGCAAATGCAGCGGAGGAAGAGGAAATTTATGAATACGATGAAGACGGTAATATCATTTGGACCTGGAAGAAAGTAATTGATCCGTTGGAAGCAGTCGATCACGCTGCGATGAATTATCCATCGTTCAACAAAAATTTTTATCACGAACATGAACAGATCAAGTAGGTCTTCTCTTTTCCATCTTCAGCATCCGGTGTTTCGTGTTGGTGAAATTCCCTCGAAGAACTAAATTCTTGCTGATTTTATTTCTCGTAGCGAACGAAGTGCAGGGCTGGTTTTTGATAAACGTTCCTTCTATTCCACATATGCTAACGGCAACAAGGTTGTGGAATTGTGGATGTATGGTGTTCTGTATGTGCTTGATCATTTAGGAGTTTGCGTTTATTTATCGGCACTCGTTATGATCGACCAAAAATTTAGCTCAATTTTGCCGTCTTGCCCGGTGATGGCACAATTTTGTCTAACTTGTCTTGTGAATTGTCAAAATTTCCAAATTCATGTAGCTGCATATCCGGATTTTTTAAAATAACGTCTTTGTTACTTGAGAAGCGAAGAACAGAGCAAATACATGTAAAACAAGTTAAAAGGGCGAATGATGACTTAAATCTAGAGAGATCGTCGCAGATCTGCGTTTCTTTAATGAGCTGTTAACGGATTGGCAGGGATGGGGTGCGGCATAATACACAACGATTGGCTTGTTTTTTGTGACACCACATTGGGCGCTGCAAATGTGTGCCACTGTAACCCTATAATTACCCATTCCCCTCCTCCCATTAATTCCTAACACTTCGACTTACTTCTCCTGTCTTACTAACTTCTAATAATTCCACCAAATTCTAAATGTTTCTATACTGTCTACTTTCCTACTCATTAACTAACTTGCCCTCCTTTTCCCTCCACTAATTCTGCCTATACAAACCCTTCCTAGATCCAGATCGACAGTCAGTTAGTTAATTAGTCAGTTTGGAAATCGTCAGCTTCAACGCCGTCACACCAAACGCTACCAGCCTCAGCTTCAACACTGTCGCCTCCCCGTCTGCCGTTGTTATTCTGTTGCACAGCCTGTGCGGTGCCCCGGCTTACCGTTTACGCGTCATTTTCGACATTTGCTCTGGAGTGAGGTGTGTATTAGAAGAATAAATCGCTGGTATTTCTTCTCTGTCTATTGCTGCTGCGGTCAAGGACCACGTAACAGGCCTTACACCACTGGTTAATTATGGCATTTGAAAGAACATATGTTGCGCTGTTTTCTTCTGATTTTACGATTTTAACGAACTTGACACGGTTTTTTCGTCGCCATAATTGAATTGGAGTTTTAGGTCGATGACAGCAATAAAAGTTTATGAGCTGCGAAACAATCTGAACATCAAAGTGGCTGGCCTCAATCCACCAAAGCCAGTGACAGCATTTGCGCATTTTGGCATGGATGAGCCACTGATGAATGTTATTCGAAAATCGGAATATGAGCATCCAACTCCAATTCAAGCTCAGGTATTGATTGTCCTCCCAAGACCCACTTCCTATGTGCAGTGATGCAGAATTAACGGAATTTATATATGATTATCCGTTGATCTTGATGCACTGCTAAATTATACTTGTTGCTATTGTGCCTTCAATTCTTTCCACGGGAAAAATTTTCCCGTGATATTATAGCTGAATAGCGAACACTTTGCTTGGTTATGAGTTCCGGACACATTTTCAGGACTTCCGAAATTTATAATTTTCGTATTTCCAAAATTTTTTTGGTTTCCAATCAACACAAATTTGATATTTCGAAATTTCTGTGATACGGTTTTTGAAGTTTGTAAGAATTTTAGTCTTAT